AAGATTGTGATTATTTAATTGATTTCAATTAAATGTATGCACATTTAAATTCCTTTCTTTTATTATATTATTCCGTTATATAATATCACTGACTTGCCAAAGTTGTTGTTGTTTATGAATGAAAAAGATTCGAAAATCAACGTTGATGGGATGTTTTACGAAATGTGGACAACTCATCCCCGAGACGAGTCGGACCGAGTCCACTCGGACCGTCTAAAAAGACAACTCGAACCGCTTGTCAGATTTACTTAGGGTTTCATAAAATGTAAGACTAACATGTCTAGCGGAGCCATCAATCTTTCGTTTGTGCATTGGGGTCTATTTAGGGGTATTTTGAGGGGCCTTAATAAGGGAGGGGTTTACTATAGAACCCTATGGGATTTTATTTTTTTTTCAATTTTCAAATGTCTATTACTTGAAAACAGTAAGTGATAGACACATACAGTCTTCAGTAATGATGACAGGACAATAGAACAAATAAAATAAAATATAGGGTGAGTCCCTGGGGTCATCCCACCCCTTCAATTTGAAAATGTGCTTTTATCTTGTAAACGATCGCGATCCCCACCCCTAAACCATATATATACTTGTATGGGACAATAAAACAAATCAAATGAAATATAGGGGGAATCCCCAGCGTCACCCCACCCTCTTCTATTTGAGAACTTGTAAACGACCGAGATCCCCACCCCTACTGCATATATTTTCTTGTATTGGCCAATAAAACAAATCAAATGAAATATAGGGGAGTCCATAGGGGTCACCCCACCCCTTCTTTTTGAAAACTTGTAAACCATCTCGATCCCCACTCTTAAACCGTATATATTCATTTAGGGGACAAGATAACAAATCAAATGAAATATAGAGGGAGTCCCTGTGGTCACTCCCACTCCCTTCTTTTTCGAAAACTTGTAAATGGTCGATATCCAAAACCCTACACCATATATATTCTTGTATGGGACAATAAAACAAATCAAATGAAATTTATTGGAGTCCACAGGAGTCACCCCGACCCCCCTTCTTTTTGAAAACTTGTAAACTGTCTAGATCCCCACCCTCAACCATATATTCATGTATGGGACAAGATAACAAATCAAATGAAATATAGGGGAGTCCCTGGAGACACCCCACCCCCTTCTTTGTGAAAACTTGTAAACGGTTGAGATCACCACCCCTACACCACATATATTCTGGTATGGGACAATAAATCAAATCAAATCAAATATAGGGGGAGTCCACAGGGGTCATCCCCACCCCCTTCTTTTTGAATACTTGTAAATGGTTGAGATCCCCACCCCGAAACCATATATATTCTTGTATGGGACAATAAACTAAATTAAATGAAATAAAGGGTGAGTCCCCTGCTGATCACCCCCCTTTGTGAGAACTTGTAAACGGTGAGATACACACCCCTAAACCATATTTATTCCTGTTCGTCATTTCAAGAAGATTTGAATGACATACAGGGTCAGTCTCCTAGGCGTCACATATGCATATCACTTTACTAGACCTAACCAATTTGTACTGGACTTTCCCCAATGTCAGGCGACCATGGGAATGACGATGTATGGGAGCTGTTTGGAAGACTTCGTAACAGCATCCTGTTACAATTATTTCTTGTTTATTATAAAATTTAATTGATGCAAAAATAAGTCTAGGTTAATTGAATTTACTTTAATTATTTTTTGAATTATTTCTGGGCCTATAAAAATTTTCATTTACGGCTCATTTTAAAGAAAACATAAATCTTTCAAGCAGTGTAAAGCCCAAGAATGTTTGACCAACTGTTTTATAATAACCTGTCATTTTATTCCAAACTTGGGATGGAGTGACAATGACATCATGGACTTGGTGAAGGTAAGGGTCATTTACATTTACTATGGGCAGGTCAATCAGACCTCACCTTTGATCCCTGTAGTAGTAAACCTTTGGCTGATTTGTGTCTGATAACTTTTGTACTGTAGAACCCAAACTCAGTGTTCCTGCCAGGGAAGCAAGTCCATTCATACTATTACAAACTCGCACTACGTCAACTTGTACCACTAAAAGTCAACTGGCACCAACGTTAACTACCAACTAGAACAACTGCAATCATTGCTAACTTGTACCACTGCAAACTCTATCATTAAAAATACACATTGATATATGCATTGCTTTTGAAAATCTTGATAAAATATTAATTAATTTGCCTTCATAATCAATTCATTTAATAAACATACATGTACAATATACGAATGTTTAATGTTTGTCTTTCAAATCTTTAAAAAAAAAATGAAGCAACACTGCCACAGTTTTCATAATTACGTTTGCCTTGGTTTTTGGTTAACTGCATATAGCGCTTACAGTGCTTTGATTTATATAGATTAAACCGCTGGTTTTCCTGTTTGACTGTTTAACACAGTCATGCCCTTTATAGCTTACTGTTCGGTGTGAGCCAAGTCTCCTTGTTGAAGGCCGTACTTTGACCTATAATGGTTTACTTTTTATACATTGTGACTTGGATGGAGAGTTGTCTCATTTGCACTCATACCACATCTTCCTATTTATAATTAATGACTCTAGCTATTATATATTCTCAATAGCTCTAAGAATATAAAATGTGTATTTTTATTCAAGATCGCAAAATTGTACTGTAAATTCAGAAATTATTGCGAAAAATGCGAATAGCAATAATTAAAACTCGCATTTTGAAATTTTCTATATGAGTTAAACAGGATTTTTCTCAATATCGCAAAAATTAAAATCACATTTTAGTCTAAAATGACAAATAATTTCTGAATTTACAGTAATCAAAAATATATTATTATAAAAAATAGGGGAAAAAATATAAAAACAAAATAAAAGAAAGATTTACATTACTGTGCTAGATTATATGGACTTTTAAAATCTTGGGAAACTATTTAAAAAATATATGAAAAACCAATATTGTAAAAGAAAATGTTAATGTTTAAATAAATCACTATTAGATAATACCCTTTTTTAACAATATTTTAATTAAGAACAGGTGAATTACTGGTTAATATCAAGATGCCAGTCCTTAAGAGGACCCCCTAATCCCCTATGTTGTTTTAGTCTAATTATCAAATGTTGGAGAACTGTGTAAAGAGTAGGTTTGTGTTGATATTATTTTGTGTTGTGTTTAATTATATTTTGATTAATTGGATTAAACAATTGATTACATACATCATCACACGAAAAAATTAAAGGAATTAAATTTGTAAATTAGAATGGTTGTAGAAGGTAATGTAAACATGGTAAAGATAACAATCAATTCAATTTAAGTCTATGTTACTATTAATTAAGAATTTCAATAAATATTTTATAAAGATTTGTTAAAACAATTCATAGAACATTTATATATTAAATTTTTAATGGTACTGAGGTCGCAGTGGTACCTGTTAACATTGGTACTAGTTGACTTTTAGTTGACATGGTACAAGTTGAATTGTTTCCCTTACCTTTCTTGATCTCATTATAAAAGATAAGGAGATGAGGTATGAATGCTCATGACAACTATCTAACAGAGATTCTGTAAAACATTCAACAATAGGCAAAATCCATACTGTAAAATATTGTAAGTTTTTTCTAAACCCTAGGGTGACAAATTGTGAGACCATTCAAACAACATAATCAAAGACCTGATTCAAACTGAAAGAATGAAGCAAACAAACAACTATGGATGACAATAATCACCCACAACATTGAATTACAGGCTTGGGATAGGAACTTAAAGAATGTGGAAGGGTTTAACATGCTTGTGAGCTCTCTATCTTCTTCTCAAATTACGACAAAGGTGTAACAACAAAAGACAAAAACAAACGTGTTCTTGTATAAATGTTTTGGTGTGGGAAGACATAATTTTTTTGTATTGTAGCAGTAACTGTGATGTACTCTTACTCTAAGATGGATATTTTGCTTTTTTTTAGTACTGGTATGAAAACAAACAAGAGCTATATATATATATATATATATATATAATGTTTTAAATTGAAAATTAAAAAAGCTCTCTGATAATTTTTAGCTCACCTGGCACAAAAGAGCAAAGTGAGCTTTTCTCATCACTTGGCATCCGTCGTCCATCATCGTCGTCGTCTGTTAACTTTTACAAAAATCTTCTCCACTGAAACTACTGGGCCAAATAAATCCAAACTTGGCCTAAATCATCCTTAGGGTATTTAGTTTTAAAAAATGTATCTGATGACCACCTCTCATCAACCAAGATGGCTGCCATGGCTAAAAATAGAACATGGGGTAAAATGCAGTTTTTGGCTTATATCTCTGAAACTAAAGCATTTAGAGCAATCTGACATGGGATAAAATTGTCATCAGGTTAAGATCTATCTGCCCAGAAATTTCTACTTGCATCAGACAAATCTTGTTGGGTTGCTGCCCCTGAATTGGTAATTTAAGGAAATTTTGCATTTTCTTAGTTATTATCTTGAATATTATAGTAGATAGAGATACAATGTAAACTGCAAAAATGTTCAGCAAAGTAAGTTCTACAAATAATTCAATTTGATCAAAATTATCAATTGACCCCTTTAGGAGTTATCGCCCTTTAAAGTAAATTTTTCACAATTTTTTGTAAATTTTTGTTATATTTTACTAAAATCTTTTCCTCTGAAACTACTGGGCCAAGTTCATTATAATTATAAACAGCAAGAATGTCCAGTAAAGTAAGATCTACAAACAAGTCACCATCACCAAAACAGAGAATTTTGTCATGAATTCTGTTCTTGTCTTCAATGTTGTAGAGTCCATTGTTTAATATGCACTGCAGCACATAGACCAAGGTGAGCGACACAGGTTCTTTAGAGCCTCTAGTTTATTGTTATAATTAAAAAATACTTTAACTTTATTACTGTTGACACTAGACATTTCAATGTGTTAGTGGTTTGATAAAAAGAAATTTGTTCAAACACAAACATTTTAAAAGAATTTGGTATTTTTTGTTACACAGTAAAACGTTATCTTTAATTTTTTCCTTTTTGAATTTTTAGAGTGATGATGGTGAAAATGAGGAAGAAGCAGTACATGTAGATGACAACCACAAAGGAGGTAAGGGTATGATATAAATTTTATGTTTTTTTTTTATCTGATACGCAGAAATATGATATGGATGACTATTTGACAATACTAATAATTAGGGAAAAAGAAACTTGTGTGTTTACTGAGCCCTGATCCACCCTATTTATTCACTGAAATTTGGGCAAATTATATGTTCACCAGTATTGTTCTAGATAGTGATGTTTTTTAAAAACATATCTGGCAGACAAAACAACCTTGTCAAATGGTGGCCAACTGAAAATAGGTAAATGCAAAACTGGATCTGATTCAAGGATTAGTTAAAGCTGTACGTATCGCTGCTTGCTGATTAAAAAGAAAAAAAAAGGAAAAAAGTTTTGATGACCTTCCATCTCTGTTTTTTCATCAGGTTACAATAAATGCCATGTTTTTGTTTTTTTTTTGCTTTCAGTTTCGAATGAAATCAATTTGGGGGAAAATATACAATAATCATAATTGTTGTTTCTCATAGGAATGAAAAGATCTGTGGAGTATTTGTTATTTAAACGACGACGAAATGACAAACATTAAACATAAACTATATCTCTAGGTTATCATATGGTCTTTTACATGTATATCACCTCCTATATGCTTCTAGGAGTATCATTGGTTTAAATTAAACACCTGGGAACTGCATTTTTGATATAAGATCAGTGGGGGTGTTTTACTTTTAATACACGGTCAGTTAGGTAAGTTCATTTTTAATACACAAGTTAGCAGAAGAGTCATGTTCCTTTAAAACAAAAACTATTTTTTTTAACTCATCTGACCCTGGCCAAGTGAGCTTTCTCATCACTTGGTGTCTTTTGTCTGTCGTCCGTCATCGTCTGTTAACTTTTACAAAAATCTTCTGCTCTGACACTACTGGGCCAAATTAAAGAGTATCTAATTTAAAAAAAATGTATCCAATGACCCCGCCGATCAACCAAGAAGGCCGCCATAGCTAAAAATAGAACATATGGTAAAATGAAGTTTTTGGCTGATATCTTTGAAACTAAAGCATTTAGAGCAATCTGACATGGGATAAAAATGTTCAACAGGTCAAGATCTATCTGCCCTGAAATTTTCTGAAGCATCAAACGACCTGTTGTTGGGTTGCTGCCCCTGAATTGGTAATTTTAAGGAAATTTTGAAGTTTTTGGTGATTATCTTGAATAATATAAAAGGTAGAGATAAACTGTAAACAGCAAACATGTTTAGTTTAAAATTGAAATGACTTTTAATGACTCAAAATGGTTGATTTTTCAATCATCACTAACGTTTCTTTCAACTTTAAAGACAAAATTAAAACCAGAAGTTTTGCGACAATACTAAAAAGTGAGTAATTCTGGATTCATTTCGGGGATTCATTTTGTTAATCAAATTGACAGGAAACCAATTACTTTTTAACTTTATTACCTTTAAAAGTGTTTGAATATAACAGGTAATAGTTGCACTCTTTTATTTAAGAATAAAATCATTTTGCATTTTACTATCAAATGTCTAATCTGTGGAAGACAAATTCATGCATGTGTAAATAAAGCACATGTGTAACTCGTGAAAAATACTTTTTATACCCCGTAGTAGCAGAGGGGGCATTAAGTTTTACCCTTGTCCTTCTGTACGCACGTCCGTACGTACGTCCCAAAGTTGGTTTCCGTTCTCTAGCTTTAGTTTGCCTCAACTTAATGTTATGAAACTTATACAGAATGCTAATTACCACAAAAGACAGATCAAATTTGAATTTTGGTTGCGTCACTTTAACCATTTTAGAGTTATGCCCCCTTCCAAATGGAAAAATTGCTGAATTTTTCGTTTCCGTTCTTTAACTTTAGTTTGCCTCAACCAAATGTTATGAAACTTATACACAATGCTTATTACCACAAAATACAGATCAATTTTAAATTTTGTTGGTGTCACTTTAACCGTTCTAGAGTTATGCCCCTTTCAAATGGAAAAATTGCTGAATTTTTACTTTTACTGTCTTCAGTTATGTCCCTTTATAACTTTATATGATATGCAAGTGGGGGCATCATCTGTGTCCCATGGACACATTCCCAATTTATTTCTACGTAAATTAAATTAAGTTTTAATTTTTAAATCAGAATTGATGATTGTATTTGCATTCAGGTGTGAATTAAGAACACAGGTAGAAAATGATTATCGATCTGTAGCCAATATTTCCAGATGCATTAATATAGTTATTAGAAGGGCCCTCAGGATAATCAAACTATACTGGAGTAGCAGTTTTATTACAGGAAACGGATTATGAAACAAAAACAAGTGCAAAATGGTGATTAAGAAACCCGATCGAAATTGACCCAAATTATTTCTGTAAGAAAATAAAATTTGTCCTAAATCCCAATTTTTCGTTTAGGACAAATAGCTTTCAGCTTAGGACATGACTGGCAAATATGACCATTTCCAGATCCTTGCTCTCACCCCCATATGGAATTTACTGATCCTGTATATATCATATAAGTTCACTATAGCTAGCACACTGTATAACTAATAATATACAAGTATCTCTTTACCATATGATATGTTGAGCTTTAATCACCTATTATGTTTAAAGTATCATGGTTATAGTTACTATAGTTATAGTTATGAAATTGAAAATGGCCATCAGGGCCAGTCAAATAGCCTAATTGAATTAAACTTTAGAAATAAGCTTTTTAGTGACCTATAATGGTTTACTTTTATAAATTTTGACTTGGATGGAGAGTTGTCTCATTGGCACTCATACCACATCTTCTTATATCTATTTTAAAATTGTATCATTGTACCATTTAAATATTAATCTTATTTTGGTTCTCTACCAATCTTGTGATGCTATTTCTAATCTGAACTGAATGTATGACCCTGCTTAATCAAAATGAAACAGCATAGTAACCATGCAGTTAAGGAAAGCTTTTATTTTAGCACCATAACTTTTTTGTAAATTGTTAAAGACAATCGTCTACATAAAGCATAGATTCCAGATGAGGAAAACATGTTCTTATATATTCTAGTGTACGGTCTTAGTTCATATTGATAGTATGTTAAATTATTATTGATAAACATCTTTTTTTGAAGGAACTAGAAAACCAAAAAGGCCATGTCCATTTTGTGGTATATTTCAAAGTCGATTAAGCAGGCATATTCTAACTAAACATAAGGACAACGATGAGGTAAAGGCAGCAAAGCAGCTTCCAGTAAAGGACAGAAATCAGGTCTTGTGCAATTTGAAAAGGAGAGGCTATCACCAGTACAACTTGAAGCTAATGAAAGAGGATGACTTTGATGTAAAGCAAATACTTAAGGAAAGGCAGACAAGAAAACAGAGGGAAGGAGATGCCATGGAAAGTAGGGTTATGTGTTCCACATGTCAGGGGTATTTTGTAAAAGAACACTTGAACATTCACAGAAACAAATGTTCAGCAGCAGAGGGAACAACAATTACACCAACTGCAATTCCACTTTCTGCTGTTAGAGATGATGGTTACACTGAAGATTATAAGGCAGACATCTTAAGTGGCTTTTTGGATGACACAAGTGGAAAGTTTTGTAAAACTGATAAATACCTAAAAGATTTTGGATTTCACAGTTACAGAAGATTTGCAGCAAGGAAGGATAAAAACCCACAGAATAGAAAAAATATAATGAAGCACATGAGGATGCTAGCAAATCTTTTCTTTTGTTTTAAAAGCGAGGCAGCTAAAATTGGCGTAGACATAAATGCAACATTAGACATGTTTAAAATGGAACACTTTACCACTTTTATGGATGCTATCCATGTGATGGCTGCAAAAGACGATGGTGGCATGAAATCTGGATTAAAGAAAAACGTAGGTCATCTTTTAAAAAATGTTATTAAACATATAAAAGGGCAGCATTTATTGAAGGGTAAGAAAGATGAGCTGGTAAAAATTGAGGAATTTAAAACATTATTTGATTATTACAGAAAGGAGATATTCGATGGAGCTGAATACAATTGTATTAAGAATAGACAGGAAAACTTGAGGCGACCCCAATATTTACCTCTTGATGATGATGTAAGAAGATTGCGAAATTACACCCTTACTGGAATTGCTCAGATGGATGACCCATATCAGATTTTAGATGTTAATGAATATCCCCGGCTTAGAGATCTTGTGGTGGCAAGAATTACACTGTTTAATGCCAAGCGGGGAGGAGAACCAAGTAGACTTACTATAAAAGAATGGAATGATGCAAAAGATGGCGTCTGGTTAGATGAAACCCACAAGAAAAAAGCCAAAACATCAGAAGAACTTGAATTGTTTGAAATATACAAATTGTCATATCAGTCTGGCAAAAGTGTATGCCATATGCTCCCAACGCTCATTCCGAAAGATTCTTGGAAAGCTATAAGAAAGCTTACTGATCCACAGATAAGACAGATGGCAGGTGTAAAACCTAGTAATATATATGTATTTCCAAACATCAAAGGCTCCAATTTTCATGTAAATGGATGGAATAGTGTAAACAAAGTTTGTAAGCAGGCAGGGCTGACAAAAGAGATTAATGCCACCCAAATGAGACATTACATGTCAACTGTGTTTGCAAACTTGGATGTACCAGAGACAGACAGGCAGGCTTTTTATAGACACATGGGCCATTCAGAAGAAATCAATAAACATGTTTACCAATGTCCATTGGCTGTTCAAGAAATTACAAAAGTTGGAAAGTTTTTTTATCTTATGGACAAAGGTAAGTTTTTTTTATATTTATTGTTTACATATAGATAGAGTCTTGACTTTTCCCCCAAAGACATACAATCAGAGCAGGGTCCACATAAATGGTTGTTTGACTGCCCAGGACCTGAGTGAAAGTCATCATTGGCCAGGTAAAAGCTGCAGCCATACTTGTCAGATTGGCAAGTAAAAGCTTCAATGTACTTTTTGTACGATTGCAGGTTAAAATCAAAAGTGTAAAACAGTGAAAAATACTGGATCTAGTATTAATTGATATAAATCATCATATCAATTAGCCTAGACATTATGTTATAGTTATTGACAAGCAAGTCGGTATATATCATTTAATCTGCACAACTCGAGTGACCCTTATTAACCGGAATGACGTAGGAGTTCAGGTTAAAGAGTCATCCCGACCGTGCAGATTAAATGATATATACCGATTTGATTGGCCAATAACTGTTTGAACACATGACGCCATCAATTTACGTGAACATTTTAGAAATATGCGGATTATATTCCGCAATCCATGGCTCCTAGGAAAGTTCCTTGTAGGATAAAGAAAGGGGGAAATACGCTTTTATGTAAAATTATTAAGTATTAAAATATTAACTTTTTTCATATTTAGGCTTCTTCCTAAATAATAAATTGTAAAAAAAAATGTTACATTATTTGGAGAAATGCGATTTAATGGTAGGTTTTTTTATTATCGTTTCTGTTAAATTTATTCACAATTTTTATTTAAATTAGTGACGAATTAGAAATTGACATATTGTGTAGACACCTATCTATTGTTGAAAACTATACTATATGTTGCCTTCTAGATGTCCTTAGTTTGTACTTATCGTTTGGTTGCTGTCTTATTGGCGTATAACCTACATCTTCTACAGTTTTAGTTCTGTTTGGTGTACTTTTAAATCGGTGTATGAAAAATCATTACTAACATGGTTATTGTGTATACATTAATTGTCTTTCTTTCCCTCAATAATATGCTTAGAGGAAGATGGACCGATGAGAGATGCATGTACACAGGGACTTGTTTCTATCCGTTGGAAGGTCAACTATCCATATGTAATACATATGAATAGTTGACCTTCTCATGTGGAGATGTACCTAAATTAAAAATATTAAGTAAACAGAAAAAAATGTTTCACTTTTCAATCTTTAACTTCCCCTCCCCCTCCAATTTTGTTTCTACTGTATAAATTTTTGAAGACATGTCGCATCTTAACAAAATCTGATTCACCCCCATCCCCCCCATGCTGTTAATATACAAACTTAAAATATGATTCCCATTAAATTCGATCCCAAAATAATCACTTAAAAGGCATACATATCTAAATAGTCGTAATAAATTCCATTGAGCACGAAACTAATTCAAATCAGATTTTATTTATTTAGATATTCTAAAATACATTTTATTTTGGCAGAAATTACAAAAAAATCATTATTATCTGGTTTGACTGTGAAACACTGTTAAAATTCAGATGTACATTGTGCACTAGATATTATAAAATATTTCATGTCCCATCCTTTGATTTGAAAACATATCATGTTTTAGCATAAAATCGTCAAAAATTGTTTTTAGTCATGCTACACTCTGTGATATTTATAATTATAAAATTTTATGGAGTTAAACCTCTTTCAAAATCCAGGACTGCCCCTAAAGGTAAGAGTACTTTTGAACTGTGCAGTATATCTGAGGTAGTTAGTGCACACCTTTGCTGTGCATTATCCCGATTATAGCACAGTAATTAAGAACAAAGAGATTTTACCCATGTCATGTGTATTAAGTGACAAATTAACATTTTTTCCCTTTCTAACTTTATAATTTTTTTTAACATATTTTCCATTTTTAACTTTATAAATTTTTTTGATGTTAGCCAATCAATGTATGATTCTGTTGTTGATTCCCATCAAATTAGACAGGGGTATGGAAATGCTCTGCCCAATTTGCCTGACTAATTATACATTATTTTGACCTGGTTACCCATAGATAAGTAAAACATTACACTTGACATAATTAAATTAAATAAAAGATTTAGAATTATTTTCACATCATTGTTCATGATGAGATCTAAGTATCAGTTAAAATTTAAAATAGATTGATAAGCCAGAATAACAAAAATTAGTTGGACTCCAAAACATAACATGATCTTTGTCCATTAACCCAGGATGGCCAATTAGGTTTATCTGACATCTAACGGAAGTGACATTTTATTATTATACCCCTGCTTTAAAAAAGTGGGGGTATACTGTTTTTCCTCTGTCTGTCCATCCGTCCCATGAATATTTTTCGTCGCATTTTTCTTAGGAACTACAATACAAGGATATCTGAAATTTGGTTTCAGGGTTTATATAAGTCACCTATACTGTGTGATGCGTTTTCAGATTCATCACGCAACAACTTCCTGTTTACAGAACACTTGTATTATTTTACACATGATAACCAAGTTGAAAATTTGCTAACATTTTTCTCAGGACCTACACTACAAGGATTTCTGAAATTTGGTTTCAGGGTCTATATAAGTGAGCTTTACCCTGTGACGCGTTTTCAGATTCATAACTAAACAACTTACTGTTTACCGAACACTTGTTTCATTTTTTACACATGATAGCCAAGTTGAAAATTTTAGTGACTTTTTTCTCCGGACCTACAATAAAAGGATTTCGTAAATTTTAGTTTCAGGGTTTATATAAGTCCCCTATACCGAGTGATGTATTTCAGATTCTTCACTCAACAACTTCTTGTTAACCGAACACTTGTATCATTTTACACATGATAGCCAAGTTGAAAATTTACGTCACATTTTTCTCAGGAACTACAATACAAGGATTTCTGAAATTTGGTTTCAGGGTCTATATAAGTGAGCTTTACCCTGTGACACGTTTTCAGATTCATAACTTAACAACTTACTGTTTACCAAACACTTGTATCATTTTTTACACATGATAGCCAAGTTGAAAATTTTAGTGACTTTTTTCTCCGGACCTACAATAAAAGGATTTCGTAAATTTTAGTTTCAGGGTTTATATAAGTCACCTATACCGAGTGATGTATTTCAGATTCTTCACTCAACAACTTCTTGTTAACCGAACACTTGTATCATTTTACACATGATAGCCAAGTTGAAAATTTACGTCACATTTTTCTCTGAGGAACTACAATACAAGGATTTCTGAAATTTGGTTTTAGGGTTTATATAAGTCAGCTATACTGTGTGATGTGTTTTCAGATTCATCACTCAACAACTTCTTGTTAACTGAACACTTGTATCATTTTTTACACATGATAGCCAAGTTGAAAATTTTCGTCACATTTTTCTCAGGAAATACAAGACAAGGATTTCTGAAATTTGTTCATCAGTGAGCAGTAGCTCGCAGTTTCACTTGTTTTTCTTGAATGACTTCTATCAGGATCAATAAATACCTGATAAAAACAACTAGACAAAAGAATGAAAATAATAATCATTCATGACGAGTGAATATAAGGCTGAAAATGGAAGGGTAGAAAGACTGGGAATAAGAAGGAAAAAAATCATAATGAGAATTCCTGAAGTGATGACTAACAGATTTCCCCTGGCTCTACAGTCATGACAGTAAATGAATTTCTGAAAATAAATTAAATTTGTACACAATTTGTAGGAGATACCAACATCTTGATGATTAAAAGTCTATCTTATTTGTTGGCAAATTGATATATAGAAGGGACACTTAATGATCTATTATTTAGTTTTCTTTTCTTTGCTAGTGTTAAAACTTAGTACACAATTTGTACCTGCTGGCTAGTATTTTAAAAACACTGCTAAATTTCTCTCTAGATGTCTTTTGGTTGCTGTCTCATTAATGGTAATCACATACATCCTTTTATTCATACACATAAACAAATCACAAACATAATTTATATTGCAATTCAAACCACTTTTAAGAATCATGCAATCTTTTTTTGTGGAAATTCAGGGCAAGTAGGTCCTGGAAAATTATTTAATTCCCAGTGTGTTCATTGTAAAGAGAGCACATTTATGTTCTAGAATAACATTCTCTAGCCCCTGAGATTTAGTTAGCACAGTAAACTGGAAATATGAATTGCTTATACAATGAAACAAAAAATACATATGAAGAAATGGAGTAGGAGATTTATAAAATTCTGAAAAAAGTACCTTTTTGAATTGCATTTACCTTATTTTATGACCTTAAATGGCAGTTAAAAATTTGTAATATGCTATTCATTGAAGACTATTTCAGGATCGGAGCAGTTGATTAAACTATAGATTTGGTAATACTTTGCATATCTATTTATATATATCATATATGCATTTCGACACACCAGCTGACTTAATTTCATTTTTCGACAACAAAAAGTGAAAGGATCTAATTTACCCTGTATTTGTTTTCATTCTAAAGGTCAACATCTAAAAGTTGCCCAATCCTAATGGAAATTAAATATCAAAGAGTATAGATTGAGTTAACGATGATCTTCTAATACATTTTTGTGGTAAATGCTTAAAATTTGCCAAAAGTTGTCAAAATTGCTGTTATGGGTTATCTTGAGACATTTACAATTTGGTGATCTGCTTAGAAAAAAAAGAGAGGTGAAAAATACCAAACGGACAGTACAACAGATCAAATCAACTGTCTAAAACCAGTTGTTAGCATGATACGTTACCTATTCTGACATCATACTCAGACTTCTTTTAAACTGAATTTTACTGTGTATTGCTGTGTTTGTCATGTTTGTTTATTCTTCATTGGCTAGAGGTAATTGGGGAGGGTTGAGATCTCGCACCTATTCTGACATCATACTCAGACTTCTTTTAAACTGAATTTTACTGTGTATTGCTGTGTTTGTTTATTCTTCATTGGCTAGAGGTAATTGGGGAGGGTTGAGATATCACACCTATTCTGACATCATACTCAGACTTCTTTTAAACTGAATTTTACTGTGTATTGCTGTGTTTGTTTATTCTTCATTGGCTAGAGGTAATTGGGGAGGGTTGAGATATCGCACCTATTCTGACATCATACTCAGACTTCTTTTAAACTGAATTTTACTGTGTATTGCTGTGTTTGTTTATTCTTCATTGGCTAGAGGTAATTGGGAAGGGTTGAGATCTCGCAAAGCATGTCTAACCATTTTTGCACCTGTCCTAAGTCAAGAGCCTCTGGCCTTTGTTACTCTTGTATGTTATTACGATTTTAGTTCATTTATATGTTTTGGAGTTTAGTGTAACGTCTATTTTCACTGAACTAGTACACATTTTTGTTTAGAAGCCAGCTGAAGCCCGCCTTAGGGTGCTTGATTTTCTTGTGTTAAAGACCCATTGGTGGCCTTTGGCCGTTTTCTGTTTCCATGGAGATTATTTAGCCCCACCCCTGATCATGGTTCATTGACTTTGAAACTTTTACATAGTTTACAAGTTATTGTTTGTGTTTAGGTTTGTTTAAAGGGAACAACTTATAATATAAGTCAATGGTATTTGGTATGCAGTTGTATTAGCATTGGCACATCTCATTCCATGGAGATTGTTTAGCCATGTACCTTCAGTCATGGTTCATCAACTTTGAATATTTGCATAACTTACATGTTAAAGTATTGCTATTTTAATTTCAACATTTGCATTATCAAAATTACAAAAAGGCGAGACATATATCTGTGATAACAGTTTATTTTTATATTTAGATGGTATTAAAGCTTATCCTGATTCTCAGTCATTACCAGCAAAAATGCAAAATGCTGACCAAGGTAGTATATTTAAAGACAGTTATATATGAAAATATATATATTCAAGCTCATGTACATACTCAAAAGTATTTGATTTTATGTTTTTTAAGTATTTGGACTTTATTCCTAAAAAAGGGGATTTATTTTCAGAGTTGGGACAATAACTCAAAAATAATTTGAGCAGTTTTCATGAAACTTTGATGACTTGTTTATATCTATTGAAATAAGCTGTCTGTTGTTTTTTTTTATATATATATATAAAATGACATTGAGAACTTTTATTTATTGACAAATTGTTGAAAACTGTCAATTTTTTCACACTAATGACAATTATAGAATTTCATTAAAAGCATGAAGACTAGCAAAATGGGCAATAGGCGTATATGCACATGCTGCAGCTCTTTATTTCATTTTTGCCGAAATCTTTATAGATAAGGAGAACTAGTAAAAACAAAGATGTTTAGTACAATGAGACTTATAAATAAGCAACATGGCTGTAATTGTCAACTTACTTCCTTTAGGAGTTAATGCCTTTATATATGACTGCAAAATATTTTTGGGGATCGTATAATGCTATGATCAGATGTCGTAGTCGTCTGCTTTGTCTTCGTCGTCGTCCAAAGACACATTTGGTTTCAGGACATTAACTTTAGTTTAAATGAATGGATCTCTATGAAATTTTACAAGAAGGTTCAATACCACAAAAGGAAGATTGGGATTGATTTAAGGGGTTATGGTACCAACAGATTAGGAATTAGGGGCCAAAAAGGGGTCAAAACAGGCATTTTTGTAGTTTCCGGACAATAACTTGTGTGTAAGTGTATGGATCTCTCTTACATTGTACGACAATGTTCCATATCAAAAAGGGAAGGCTGGGATTGAGTTTGGGGGTAATCACCCCAAAAATTCAGGAATTAGGGGCAAAAAAGGGGCCAAAAACAAGCATTTTTGTAGTTTCCAGACAATAACTTGTTTTTAAGTGTATGGATCTCTCTAAAATTGTACAACAGGGTTTCATACTACAAAAGGAATGCTGAGATTGAGTATGGGGGTAACTGCTTCAAGGAGAGGAGGGGGGGGGATTTTTTTCCAATTTTTTAAGGGGTTCATAATTTTTTTTCATCAAAATTTTTCAAATTTCAATATTTGATAAGTTTCAAGAAGAAATTTTCAATTGCACAGTATTGCGCAATAGATTTTTAAGATCTTTGACCACATTTATCTTGTGTCAGTAACCTGAATTGTGTCAAAAATTGGATCACAATTCAAATTCAGACAGTATCAAGCTTGAATACTGTGTCCAAATTTGCCCCAACTGTTCAGGGTTTTACCTCTGCGGTCATATCAGGCTGCGCCCAGCAAAGCATTTTATTTGTATTTGTGCTGTTTTTGCACAAACTATAATTGAAAGTGATAAACAGTTATTACCAAAACTGTATCACCGTAAGGCCTTTAACAATGAGCAGAAACGATACTGGTTAGTAAGTTATAAATAGCCCCTAAATGACTGATATGGCTAAAAAATAAATTTAGGGGTAAAAATCAAGTTTTGTCTATAATATCTTGAAAACTATAATAAATAAGAAAATCAGACATGGCAGAACTGATGAGAACTATGTAGTATCCAGTTGTATAAATACTGCCAGATAACTACTTGTAGGAGTTATTGCCCTGAAATGCTCCTAAAGAGCCTCAAGTGTAGTTACAAATTCTGACTAGACCAATTTTCTTGATTATGATTGTACAATAAGGTAAAGTTGTAAAAATTTATGTTACTTTGTATAATGATTAAAATTAATTGAATTTATTTTAGTTGCCTTTAAAGTATAATTTTTTTAACACATAATTTTTTTGTTTTAAATGTCATTAAATAATATTTGTTGGATTATTCAATTGATAATGACACTTTGTAAAAGCTGTATCTGAAAATTAGCTTAGCTGTTTTAAGGCTACAAATAAAAGAGAATTCTTTTAATGCCCCTACCGTAGCAGAGGGGGCATTTAGTTTTGCCCTTGTCCATCTGTATGACCGTATGTCCATAGGTCCAAAAAGTTGGTTTCCTTTCTCTAACCTTAGTTTGCCCCTTTATAAATGGAAAAATTGTTCATTTCTGTTCTGTTTGCCTCAACCAAATGTTATGAAACTTATATCCAATGCTAATTACTACAAAACACAGATCATGTCTGAATTTTGTTGGTGTCACTTTTATTGTTCTAGACAGTAGACTAAGTATGCCCCTTTCCAAATGGAAAAATTGGTGAATTTTTTGTTTCTGTTTAACTTTAGTTTGCCTTAACCAAATGCTATGAAACTTATACATAATGCTTATTACTACGAAACTCAGATCATGTTTGAATTTTGGTGGCGTAGCTTTTACCGTTCTAGAGTTTTGACCCTTTATAAATGGAAAAATTGCTGAGATATTCGTTTCTGTCCTGTAGTGACTTTATATTGCCTCAACCAAAAGTTATAAAACTTATGCACTATGATAATTACCACAAAACACAGATCAAATTTTAATTTTGGTGGTTTCAACTTAATAGTTCTTATACGTAATAATGTCCCTTTCCAAATGAAAAAATTGCAGAATTTTTTATTTCAGTAATCTTACCTTAAATTTGCCTCAACTTAATGTTATGAAACTTATACACAATGCTTATTACCACAAAACTCAGATGGAGTACAAATTTAGATAATGTCACTTTTTTTAGCTCAACTGGCTATGCCCAAAAGAGATAAAAAAAGAGGGGTGAAAGATACCAGAGGGACAGTCAAACTCATAGATGAAAAAGAAACTAACAAAGCCATGCCTTAAAAAGAAAAAGACAAACAGACAAATAATAGTACACAAGACACAACATAGAAAACTAAAGACTAAGCAACTTGACCCCCACCAAAAACTGGGGGTGATCTCAGGTGATCCGGAAGGGTAAGCAGATCCTGCTCCACATGTGGCACCCATAGTGTTGCTCATGTTATTAAAAAGTGAGTTTTTCTCATCATTTGGCGTACGTTGTCCGTCCTTATGCATTTTCGTTGTCTGTTAACTTTTACAAAAATCTTCTCCTCTGAAACTACTGGGCCAAATGTACATGGCTGACATAGCTAAAAATAGAACATATGGGTAAATGCAGTTTTAGCCTATATCTCTGAAACTAAAGCAAAATGTAAATGGTTGAATTATTTCATGCATCAATTGTAAAAAAAAAATATCAGGTTAGCAACATAGGCTTCTTGAAGCCTCTAGTTTACAGTACTTGAGTTATGTCCCTTTATGATGTTATATATGCAAGCAGGGGCATAGTCTGTGGACACATTCCCCTTTTTTTTTTCAGAAGATGTTGCGGGTACTTCATATGACAATAGTGGTGGTACTGATGAAAATACAGATATAACAGAGAGTGATGAGGGTATGTTTATCTAAATTATGAATTACTGATAATTAAAATACAAACTATTAAGGCAATTCTGTGCAGTTGGAAAACTAGTTTAATGGTAATCAATTATAGAAACTTTTCGAAAAATCCATTATGATTATCATTAATAGAAAACAAAATTTCATTTTGAATCGTTTCATAACAGAGTGGTGGAATGTATTGATAAGAGATAAAAGTAAAAAAATATCTTATATAAAATGTTTTCAAAGAAACCTTTTCTAATATTCCTGAATTAAAATGTAAAGACAACCTTTAAACAACCATTAAATAAAAATTTGTATACACACACTTTTTTTGGTGAAAGGACTCTGCAATTTTGCATCTGTATATTTGGGTGATTACATTTTTATGATAGATTCAGGTTCAAGTTCAAGTTTTGGAAGAGCAAAGAGAGGGAAAAAAAGAAAGAATAGAGGTATATTGTTATTTAATACATTTTTTTTCTTGTTGTTTTATGGATTGAATATAAACTTTTCTACTCTTTATTACTTTTCTTAACTTATTTTAAATACTGTGAATTCACTATTAATTGTTTGGTAATTTTTTTGAATTGGTGGTTTATGTGAATATCAAATTTTAGTAATCAACAAAATCAAAACTTGCTAAAAGCATGACTGCAGACTTAAGCAAAACCCAAAATCAAGTATCCATGAAAATACAATATTTGCTCCATGTCCAAAAATTGATACCCATAAAAAGTAAATGAAACAAAGAATGATATATATTTAATGGAATCTCAGATGTTAGTGGAATATGTCATGATTTCATATAAGCAGGTTAATGATTAGCAAATATGAGCATTCTTTAATACTGTTTATTAATTATTGTTTTGTTTGTACTTGTTTACACATATTTTTTATATATTATGGACAGTCATATATGAGATGAACCTTATTTTTGATATACATTCTTTCAGTTATTAAATACAGTTCTTCAGAGGATGATTCTAGTCCACAAAGTGATGACAATTCTGATGAAGGTATTTCTTTTTAATGCCTTAACTAGGGAAAATTAAAGAACCTCTCTGCCACTCAACCAATTCTTTTGAAATAATATTGTGGACCATAAAATTCAGTCAAGTTTGATTTAGTTTGATTTGGCATTTACAAGCTTAAGTCAAGAGAAACATCCTTTAGTTACCTTAAAAATCAGGAAATTATTTGGTTTCTGGATGATAATTAAAGTACCACTTTACCAAATCTTGAAACTTGAAGACAATGTCATAGTTTATGAAATCTTGATCAAGTTGAATTTGATGGTTTTGAGTTTTACCAATGAAGAGTAATGCCCCTAAGTTCCCTTAAGAATTTTTCTTAAATTTTATTTATACCTGGTTCTTATTTAAAGAGACTAGACGACCAAATCTTTTTGTACGAAAATTTGTCTTACCAATTGGTAAAAAACCATCAAATTTCCTGCATTTTGTGTATTGAGGTCTTGTCATTAATATTTAGATTAAGTGACAGCTTCATCGGAAATTAATGTGTATAAAATATATCTTTGATTAAGGCTCATATATATATATTTAACCAAAAACAATGAACAAAACAGAGAAAAAAGAAACCAAAGAGACATTCAAACTTAATTTGAAAAAAAAATTGTCAAGGCCATGACAGAAAATGAAAAAGAACAAAAGACCAACAACAATTAACAAAATTCAACTTAGATAACTTAAGACTGATTGACACAAGCCCCAACAAAAACCAGGAGTGATCTCAAGTGCACAAGATGGTTGAGCAGACCCTGGTCCAAATGTGGCACCAGTGGTGTTGCTCATGTAAGTACGAACCTGGATGAAAAGGAGTGTTTAGGTCAGATAATTAGTCTTCAAAGTTATTGTTTCCTTTTCAGGCAACATTCAACAAAAGAGAGGATTGAAAAGAAAGAGCAAAGGTAATAAGGACAATAATTTCTATCAATTAAAATTTATTATTATAAACACTATACCTGGCCTGAGAACACAGTTATTTCATAGTGCATATTTAACCACAAAATAAGAAAATGGCTACTGCTATATTAAGAAAAAAAAGTGTACCACTCTTGGGACAAATTATGTTGAAATTTTAGAAAATTTTATCGGCTCTAACTCAAAATATGGACATTTTTAAGTTAAAGGGGTCCGTAGATCAGTTTGACAGCTTCAGGCATACTAACTTTTGATCTTTTCAAACTGGACCAAATCACTTCTTTACTTAAAAATTCATACCCCAAATTTGTTTTTACATGTAATTTCATCCCTCTACTTACCTGCTTACTATTTTATGCAAAAAATAAAAAAGAATGAAATTTTGAAGGTGATGAAAAAAAATTGCAAGTTATACACTGTCCACACTAGGGGTTCTATTTGTAGACAACTAAAATCAAAGGATGATAAGTGTTAGAGATGAATTTCTTGTGAATCATTGAATGGATATTTCTTGATGCAAGATTTTCTGATTCAAGATGACTGGGTCATACCTTCTCAAACAGTATCCATTAAAGGGCTTAGGTGGAATCACAAAAAACATACTGCACAGTACAACAGATCAAATCAACTGTGAACAATTAAACTCCTACATAATAGAACAGACAAGCAACAATGAAGAATACTTAGTTTAGATAGACTGAGATTGACCACAACATGAGGTGATATTGAATCTGCTAAAACCTGTAAACCTTTCCCTGCGCCTATCTTTCATAAAACTCAAATACATAATTTAAAAAACCTGCATAGTGCAGTTCTTATCAACATGAATACTAACTAGAAGTAGGAAGTTAATTCAGATGTGTACTGTTACATATTCATAATGCTATAATTGATCATAGAAAACTGCATTATCAAGATGTTTAAATTTTTTATTCCATTAGAACAAATTTTATTGCCTGAATGTTTACCACTATTATGGCTTAATTACCATTGACATCAAGCTTATGATTTCAATTAACCTTTTTGTAATTTTTGAGAAAGTCATGTTTAATCTTTTATTTTATGTTCATGATTGTGCACTCAGAAGTAGTGATTATTCACTCATTTTGTGGGTAAATTGGTAGCTACAAATTTTTTCAGAAACTTAGATTAAATATCTCTTTAAACAATAGCATGTTTATTTTGTGTACACGTTGCTGCTGTTTGGTTTATTTTTTGGACACTGTAATGTGATTTTTACTGAATAAACATGGGGGTGTTTAGGTCAGATTATTCTTCATAGTTATTGTTTCCTTTGTGGGTAGCAATCAACAAAAGAGAGGATTGAAAAGAAAGAGCAAAGGTAATAGACACCATTTGTACAGTTCGTTTGTATATACTGGGGAAAATAATGTGTGTATCTCTAACACTTAAAATTTATAATAATAAATCCTATACCTAAGAGATGAATTTCATGTGAATATTAAGTGGATGTTTCTTGATGTAAGATTTTCTAATTCAAGGGGGAAAAGTGCCTGTGTCATACCTGTTCATTCAATTATCTATTAAAGATCTGAACAGGAATCACAAATAAAATACTGCACAGTATACAGTCAGAGCTCTGACATAAACAAGTCAGAATAAAATGACTTCTTCAAGTCAGAAAGTGTTTTGAAATTCTGACCTGTACGCGTCAATTTTTGTTTTGCGTAGTTTTCACTCGAGTCCGTAAAACCAGAAGTTATTTTGAATTTGCCGCCGATCTACGACACATACGATCACGTGGTTTTTTGCAAGAGATCACGTGTTTGAGAGTCGTTGTTTTGGAAGTGTCTCGAACGAGAAGTCATTGAATATTATATTGATTATTTACGATTTTTAGTGAAAATCTAGGTCATTGTGGGCATTTTTAGAAAGGTAATTCATATTACCTCCGTATTTTCATGGGCATTTTTATATTTTTTGCCTATAAAGAAGTTCCTTGCAAGTAATTTTTTTGCTGTTTCATGAAGGCGCGCGACCTGTAAATACGGACGCGTGGTCTTTGAGATGACCTGGTGTTTGACAATTCTGACTTGTTCAGGTCAGAAAATGTTGTTATGATAATGAATTGTTATTTTCGGGAGATAACTCGTGTTGTCTTAAACAATATCAACATTATTAACCAGTCAGTGCAATTTAAAAAGTAAAATTATTGCTTCGAGCTGAACATCGTCACGTGATTTTTCTATTTTTAAACTCAATCACGAATTGATTTTTTAACCTTTCTGATTCGTTTCTCCCTATGAGAAAAACGATCATTGTGAATATTGATATGATGATAATGAAACAAAAATGGGAAAAATTTTAATAAAAGAAAAAGGAAGGGAGGGGTTTAACTAAAGAACCCAAGGGTTTTTTTTTATTTTTAAAGTTATAACTTGAGAACAATAAGTGATGCACACACCTGGTCTTCATTTATGATCATGGGACATGATAAAACAAATCAAATGAAATGTAGGGCAAGTCTCCAGGGATCACCCCTATCCCTGTCATTTCTCTATTCCTCTTTATAATGTCAAATTGATTTGAATGAAATATACCGGGCTAGTCTCCAGGTTTACCCCCACCCCCTGCCATTTGCAAATGTTCTTATATTTTGTAAACGGTAGAGATCCCCACCCCTAAACCATATATATTCTTGTATGGGACAATTTAACAAATCAAATGATATGTTGGGGAGGTCCCTGGGGGTCACCCCTACCCCCTCCTGTTTGAAAACTTGTAAACGGTCGAGATCCCCACCCCTAAACCACATATTTTCTTGAATAGGACAATAAAACAAATCAAACGAAATATAAGGGAAGTCCCTTGGGGTCACCCCCACCCCCTCCTGTGTGCAAACTTGTAAACGGTCGGGAGTCCAACCCCTTAACCATATATATTCTTGTAAGGGTCAATAAGACAAATCAAATGAAATAAAGGTGAAGTCCCTGAGGGTCACCCCACCCACTCATGTTTGAAAACTTGTAAACGGTCGAGATCCCCACCCCTAAACCATATACATTCTTGCACAGGACAATAAAACAAATCAAATGAAATATGGGGGAAGTCCATTGGGGTCATCCCCATCCCCCTTTTTGAAATGTTCTGGATCACCACCCCTAAAGGTAAACCATATGATATTCCTGTTCGTCATTTCAAGAAGATTTGAATGACATGCAGGGTCAAACCCTAGGCGTCACTTATGCATATCACTTTACTAGACAAAACCAATTTGTACTGGAACTTGCCCAATGTCAGGCAACCATGGGAATGATGAATTATGGGAGCTTTGTTTGGGAGACTTCGTAACAGCATCCTGTTACAATTATTTCTTGTTTATTTTAATCTGCTGAGAGACCACCTTTACATATTATATTTATCAGTGTTTGTGCAAACAGAATTGTCTATTCAGTATTATTTTCCTCTCACATGCATCACATCTTATTAATTACATGGATATAGGAAGATGTGGTATGAGTGCCAATGAGACAACTCTCCATCCAAGTTACAATTTATAAAAGTAAACCATTATAGGTCAAGGTACGGCCTTCAACACGGAGCCTTGGCTCACTCCGAACAGCAAGCTATAAAGGGCCTCAAAAAATTACTAGTGTAAAACCATTCAAACCGAAAAACCAACGGTCTAATCTATATAAAAAAAAAAAAAATTTGGCATATTTGTTTTCCTCTGAAATTACACATCTATATTTCTTACCCCAGATGCTTAGCCACATGAAGCATTTACCTCTTATTTGAGACATAGATAGTCTTTGTTTCTACAGAAGTGAGAAGAACATTGGAAGTCAGAATGTTCTGACTTATAAAAGTCTGAATGTTCTGACTTAATAAGGTCAGAAAGACTCAGAATGATCTGAAAATACTGACTTTTTTTTAATGTTTAGAGTATTTTAGAATATGAATGCACTTGTCATGCTAGTACCATAAGAAACCCTGACAAGATTTTGTTCCCAAACAACAATTTTTAAAGATATTAAGAATAACAAGTGTACAATGGAACATAAATAACAAAGTTATAAGTGTTGCGAAAAAAGCTCTTTAAAAAAAAAATCAATAGATAGTTATCTTTCAACTTTTACATGTATTTAAAAAACAGTGAAAATATTATGGATTATATGTACGGCTTCTTGAAGGAAAACAAAGTCACCATATTTGGTCTGAATTTGTATGTTTTTTCTCCTCAAAATTTTTTTAACATTAATAATGTCGGCTTTTTTCTTAACTAATTTTAAACATTCTTAATTATAATTAAATTTCCCCAACATTTTGCTTACAAACTCTTTAATTTCTAAAGTCAAATTGAAAGCTGTCTTCACAGATTCAATGTGTCTGAAAATGTTATATTGAAAAAACAATACTTTTATATCCTCAAATAAAATGGGCATACCATGAGTTTAATGGTCATACAGATATGCAATCCAGGATGTTAACAATCAGAGTTTAGATTACAGTCATATAGTAATAGGCAGAGTTTTTCTTATATAATCAATAACCAGAGTAAAGATAATTGATTAATAGAGGTTTAGTTTAATATAAGTAATAAACAAAGCTAATTAATACACTTGCAATCACATACATGTAGTTAAATTAGTAAATACAGAATATTCATACAAAATTCAGACAGAAATACTGTAATAGGTCAAGTCATTAGGGACGACATCAAAAGTTCAATGTAGGATAAAAAAGCTTAATTCACATCACATAGTTTTTTCACTGACCCACCCACACCCCCTCTTAACTTAATTTGGGAAAGATTGATTGACCAATATGGATTTATGTAAAATCGATTTTGGATAAACAAAACTTGCAGCAACTTTAACCCCACCCCCACCCCCAAACTATTTGATTTAAGTTTTTTTTATCCTACATTGGTCTTTTGATGGCGTCCCTTAGAATATGCTGACTTTGTACACGTTGTAGTGATAGTTATGGCACCCATACAACATATAGGAATCAGTCAAAAGGAGAGAAAAATTCCCGAAATTTGTCACATAGTGACATTTGTGAGTCGGAATAACAAAATATAGACTCATTAATCTCTCCATCTTTTCAAAAATTATGAACCAGATTTTATGCATATCCATTTAGTTTTTGACGGACTCTTTTAAGTCAGAACATGATTTGACCTGTTTGAGTCAATTTGCAGAACAAAATTTCCAATCAAAGCTATGTGTTCTTCCTCTTAGCCCCCTTCAAAATCTGCCACTGTTGAGTTTATTAATTGATTTTTCCATACATTATCATTAATATCAAATGGCAATGCCTGACTTAATAATTTCAATAAATTTAGTTTTTGACTAATTTTTTAAAGTCAGAACATGACTTGACCTGTTTAAGTCAATTTGCAGAACAAAATTTCCAATCAAAGCTAGGTGTACTTCCTTTAAGCCCTGCAATGCCAGGCTTAAATATTTCAATAAATTTATTTTAGTTTTGGACTGACTCTTTTAAGTCAGAACATGATTTGACCTGTTTAAAACAAAATACATTTAATATTGAATATACCAAATAAACTTTTTTATAGTCCTCATTATTGTGACTTATGGGGACTTTATTCTCTCTGTCTTTTATCTGGCTCACCCATACATTTTTAAATCAATATGACAATACTATACTTAAAAGTTGTAATAAGTTTAGTTTTGTTTGACTCTTTGAAGTCAGAACATGATTTGACCTGTTAAAGTCAGTTTACAGAACAAAATTTCCAATCAAAGCTAGGTGTACTTCCTTTAAGCCCTGCTTCTGAATCTGCCATTTTCGAGTTTATTATAAATTTGATAAGTTTTTAGAAACAATTAAGTCAAATGGTTATTTATTTTAGGGGATCTTACATATATTTTCTGTGTCTTTTATCTGACGTTCCCATACATTCATTAAATAACATATGGCAATGCCCAGCTTATATATTTCAATAAATTTATTTTAGTTTTGGACTGACTCTTTTAAGTCAGAACATGATTTGACCTGTTTAAAACAAAATACATTTAATATTGAATATACCAAATAAACTTTTTTATAGTCCTCATTATTGTGACTTATGGCGACCTTATTTCCTCTGTCTTTTATCTGGCTCACCTATATATTTTTAAATCAATATGACAATACTAGACTTAACAGTTGTAATACGTTAAGTTTTGTTTGACTCTTTGAAGTCAGAACATGATTTGACCTGTTAAAGTCAGTTTACAGAACAAAATTTCCAATCAAAACTGGTCTTTTCCTCTAAGCCCCCTCCCCCCCCCCCCCCCTAATCTGAATCTGCTACTGTTGAGTTAATTAATTGATAAGTTTGTTTAGAAACAATTAGTCAAATGGTTTTTAAAATAATATTTTTTATCACCAAAAGTTCCATATGTTAACTTAACAGAAAAAAAAAGTCATGAAAATGCAGAAATAGAATAAAATTTTAAGATAATTTGATGAAATTTGTAAACAAAATACATTTGAATATTAAATATAACAAAATAAACTTTTTTATAGTCCTCATTATTGAGACTTTATTATTGGGTGTCTTTTATCTGATTTTCCCATACATTCTTAAATGCATATGACAATTCCAGACTTAAAAGTTGCAATAATTAGTAAAAGTATAGTTTTTGACTGACTCTTTGAAGTCAGAACATAATGTGACTTGTTCAAGTCAGTTTGCACAACAGGATTTACCTCAATGAAATATTAAGATATCAAATATATACCAAATAAACTTTTATATAGTTCTAAAAATTGTGACTTAATATTTGTGATATTTTTTCCTACTTGTATCCATACATTCTAACAATCACATCCCAATCATGACAATGCCCTACTGTTACAGTTGCAATCCATTTAGTGTTCAATAAATTAATAAATTTATTTTAGTTTTGGACCGACTCTTTTAAGTCAGAACATGATTTGACCTGTTTAAAACAAAATACATTTAATATTGAATATACCAAATAAACTTTTTTATAGTCCTCATTATTGTGACTTATGGGGACTTTATTCTCTCTGTCTTTTATCTGGCTCACCCATACATTTTTAAATCAATATGACAATACTATACTTAAAAGTTGTAATAAGTTTAGTTTTGTTTGACTCTTTGAAGTCAGAACATGATTTGACCTGTTAAAGTCAGTTTACAGAACAAAATTTCCAATCAAAGCTAGGTGTACTTCCTTTAAGCCCTGCTTCTGAATCTGCCATTTTCGAGTTTATTATAAATTTGATAAGTTTTTAGAAACAATTAAGTCAAATGGTTATTTATTTTAGGGGATCTTACATATATTTTCTGTGTCTTTTATCTGACGTTCCCATACATTCATTAAATAACATATGGCAATGCCCAGCTTATATATTTCAATAAATTTATTTTAGTTTTGGACTGACTCTTTTAAGTCAGAACATGATTTGACCTGTTTAAAACAAAATACATTTAATATTGAATATACCAAATAAACTTTTTTATAGTCCTCATTATTGTGACTTATGGCGACCTTATTTCCTCTGTCTTTTATCTGGCTCACCTATATATTTTTAAATCAATATGACAATACTAGACTTAAAAGTTGTAATAAGTTAAGTTTTGTTTGACTCTTTGAAGTCAGAACATGATTTGACCTGTTAAAGTCAGTTTACAGAACAAAATTTCCAATCAAAACTGGTCTTTTCCTCTAAGCCCCCCCCCCCTAATCTGAATCTGCTACTGTTGAGTTAATTAATTGATAAGTTTGTTTAGAAACAATTCAGTCAAATGGTTTTCAAAATAATATTTTTTATAACCAAAAGTTCCATATGTTAACTTAACAGAAAAAAAAAGTCATGAAAATGCAGAAATAGAATAAAATTTTAAGATAATTTGATGAAATTTGTAAACAAAATACATTTGAATATTAAATATAACAAAATAAACTTTTTTATAGTCCTCATTATTGTGACTTTATTATTGGGTGTCTTTTATCTGATTTTCCCATACATTCTTAAATGCATATGACAATTCCAGACTTAAAAGTTGCAATAATTAGTAAAAGTATAGTTTTTGACTGACTCTTTGAAGTCAGAACATAATGTGACTTGTTCAAGTCAGTTTGCACAACAGGATTTACCTCAATGAAATATTAAGATATCAAATATATACCAAATAAACTTTTATATAGTTCTAAAAATTGTGACTTAATATTTGTGATATTTTTTCCTACTTGTATCCATACATTCTAACAATCACATCCCAATCATGACAATGCCCTACTGTTACAGTTGCAATCCATTTAGTGTTCAATAAATTAATAAATTTATTTTAGTTTTGGACCGACTCTTTTAAGTCAGAACATGATTTGACCTGTTTAAAACAAAATACATTTAATATTGAATATACCAAATAAACTTTTTTATAGTCCTCATTATTGTGACTTATGGGGACCTAATTTCCTCAGTCTTTTTTCTGGCTTACCTATACATTTTTAAATCAATATGACAATACTAGACTTAAAAGTTGTAATAGTCGTTTAGTAAGTCAGAACATTATGTGACTTGTTTGAGTCAGTTTGCACAACAGTATTTACCTCAATGAAATATTAAAATAATAAATGTTTTGCTCTTAATACATTTAGCTTAAAGTGGATGAGAATATATCTTTTTTTAACATAGTCTTATCATGAATAAGTGTCTTGTTTTTCCTTGGAAGATTTGAAGTATTGTCATGGTACTAGTAAATGTATCCAATATTGTATTTTGTAAATCTTTTGATATTCAGAAAATTGTATGATCCATTTTTTCTCACCTGGTTTTTCTTTGTATTTTGAAATAATTGAAAGTGATGAGATAAATATATTATGTTTAGATTCTGGAAAGGAGAAGGTATGATGTCAGATGAGCCCCACTTTTTAAAACTCTTTAATTCGAAACTAGTAATCACCATATTTTTATGGAGATTGATAACAAAGTGGTAGTAATGACTGCTTCAAATCAGAACAAAAATGACCTCTCGAAGTCAAAATGCATTAAAAAGGGGCATAAATCTTATTAGAATATGAAGATATTAAGTCACAATATTTTGTGCAAAAGCTGACCTGTGGAAGTCATTTTATGATAAATTAAAGTCTGACATAAACTGACCTGTACAAGTCATATTCTGTTGAGTGCAAGAAGGGAGACAACACTTACATCAAATTATATCTGACCTATGGAAGTCATTTTATTCTGACTTGTTTATGTCAGAGCTCTGACTGGTATAACAGATCGAATCAACTGTCAACAACAGAACTCTTACATAATAGAACAGATAAACAACAATTAAGGATATTTGAATTTTTACTAGATAACATTTTTTGTTCGCTATGGAGATTCCGTATATCGTCAAGTTATCAGAATTCTCATGGGGACTAATTAAGCACCACTTATTGCAGACCAGGGCCCGTATGAATAAAGCATCCTAAGTTCAGATTTGTTCTGAACGGGCGGATTTTTCAACATGTCCTACGATAAATTAGTACTATGATAGATTATCTTCACTTAAGTTGTTTTATGCATATCAGCCCTGTTTCTGTATTATTATGAGTTACAATTTATGACAAAAATTAGCAAAAAATCATCGAAAAAACATCTGATTCAAAAATTGAATAACACTTTTAGATATTTGGATGATATATTGGCTCTCAATAATGACAACTTCAGTATGTACACTAAAGAGATTTATCCTGCCAAACTGACTATAATTAAAGCTAATACTAACAATGAACACTGCCCTTTCCTGGATCTTGATATGGGAAGCTTAATACCAAAATTTATGATAAAAGAGATGATTTTTCATTTCCTATTGTTAATTATCCATTTTTAAATTGTGAGTTCCCTTGTCACCATCTTATGGTGTTTATATATCTCAACTTGTTCGATTCTCTCGTGTATGTAACAACGTACTTGATTTTAACTAAAGAAATCTCTGTATTACTGAAAAATTATAACACCTCAGTTTTAGATATCACAAATTACTGTAAATTCAGAAATTATTGCGTGCATTTATTATTGCGATTTTGTCATTTTAGACTTAAATGCGATTTTAATTTTTACGATTTTGAAAAAAATCCTGTTTAGTTTATATAAAATATTTCAAAATGTGAGTTTAAATTATTGCGTTTACAACTCTGTCGCAATAATAAAAACCTTGCAATAATTTCTGAATTTACAGTAGTCAAAACATTTACTTAATTTTATCATCGGTACAAGGACATCATTCGTAAATATAAATCAACATGCAGACATCTTATAAGTTCAGGTATTTCACATCCAATCTTTTTGGTAATATTCTTTACAAAGCACAAAAATGTCGGCATTCACCTCAAAAGCTAACCAAACCTTTAAACAGACTACACAGAAGGGATATAGTTACGATACTGTTGTCAGGTCATTAAGAATGGCATATTTTGGTATTAATATTGATTCACTCATAGGGTCCTCTAATCCGAAATAAACACATTTATTCTAAAACCAGTTGTTGGCATGATACAGGTTATATTCTTCTCATATATTTTATGATGGTATGATACTAAACAAACGGGAGGGATTGTGCTTGATTTTCATATGATGAAGACATAATCTTTCAATCAGTTTAATTGAGGTCTGGAGCTGGCATGTCAGTTACTGCTAGTAGTTCTTTGTTTATTTATGTATCATTGTCATTTTGCATAGTTTCTTTTGTTACCTATTCTGACATCTGACTCAGATTTTTATTTCGGGGCCAACTGAGGCCCACCTCCGGTTGTTGGATTTTCTCGCTGCGTTGAAGACCCATTGGTGGCCTTCAGATGTTATCTGCACTTTGGTCGGGTTGTTGTCTCTTAGACATATTCCACATTTTCATTCTCAATTTTAGTAGTCTAGACAGACTGACATTGGCCACAAAATGAGGCGATATTGAAACTGTTAAAACCAGTAAACCTCTCCCTTTGCCAATCTTGTACACACAACACTCAAATACCCAATAGAAAACATGTGAAGTGCAGTTACCATCAAAATGAACACTAACTCTAACAAGGAAGTAAATTAAGAGGGTTATGGTCAAATATTAAATAGATATTTCCAATTTAAGTTTTATGAATCAGCTGCCCTGGTTAACCTGGGGTCATTTAGGGGGGGGGGTCTTGTATTCTGAGACTGGATCCGATCTTTTTAACTTTATATGCAGCCTTTAATAAAAGATTTTCCATCTTTGGCTTTAATGGTCAGCATCATTACATGAATAGTAATTAATGTATGAATTGCAATACACCAATCATTCATATATTGGACCAAATTTAGTCAAATTGGTAACTTTATTGTAGATGAAGAAATTGAAGAAGAAATTGCAGAACTATTAAGAACAAGAAAGAAAGGTATGTTTTTGAGAATAAAGCAGTGTATTTTGGATAAAAGATGATCAGTATAGATTTTACTGAAATTTATATTTTAAAGATCAAAGCTATATTGTTGAAGGGTTCTCCAATAAAAAAGACACATAGTATTAAAATGTTTCGATTCTTTTTGGAATGCATTGGATGAATGTTCTGAATAATGAAATGATGGTCATCATATGGACAACACGGAGCTTCAACATGTTTTTACAACCCCGAAGTCAACTATCTAGTCAAAACACTGTTTGAATTGTTAGTACTCAATTGATATTAAAATAAGACTATGCAATATGATTGTCAATGAGACATCTCTCCACCAAATTATGTAGAAATTAACAACTGTAGGTCATGGTATGGTCTTCAACAATGAGCAAACCATACCGCATGGTAAGCTATAAAAGGCCCTGAAATGACAAATGTAAAACAATACAAACAAGGAAACTTACGGTCTGCGTACATTAGATTGTAAATAATCTATAAAAGTGGCCATGCATGCACCTCCATCAATAATGATGAGGTTACCCTGTGTCAACTACTATTCCTTCAGGGATAACTCCTCATTACTCTGAATGGAACAAAAGGGAATCTTCATTTGAAAGTAAAATATGTTGGTTATTTCCACAAAACAATATAGCGACAATTAATCACCTCAAACAAATTGATTTGAATTATTGCAATTCCAATTTAACACTTGAAAGCTTAATGTAATATTGAAGTTTACTGTAACAAGCTGTGTGCTGGAAAGAAATTTAGTGACATGTCCTTTTTAAATAGCTTGGTAACAATAACTTTTTTTGGTAAAAAAAAAAATCTTTTCATTATTTTTTGTTATTTATAAACAAATATAGATATTATCAAACACCAAAAAATACATTATCTTCATTCATTCTTGAAAATGACAAGAATATACGAAAATGAATCCAACTGTATCAACCATACCTACAGGTTTGTCATTAAATATGTACCTATTTTGAATAAGCTCTTATGAATTATAGAGTTGCCTTATTTTCTTTGAAGGAAGACGATATGTTCAATGGAGTGAGAAAGATTCAAACACTGTAAAATCCTACTTCAAACAATACATCCAGGATGTATCTAAAGAAGGTGCAAAAGGGAGAATGCCTGGTATGTTGTATTACATATAGTATTAAGGTCAATATCCTGAAGTAGAAACACCACTGATTCAAGCCCACCTATTTGAATTTGATACATTGATTTTATTATTCAAAAAAGTCAGTCAAAAAGTTCTACAATTGTCACAAGTTTTCTCACTTTCATTTGATACCAAAATAACTATAATATTCAATATATTTTGAAACCAGGCTGAAGCACTGTATTTAGAAAAAAAAATATCTGAATTATTTAGGTTGTAGTATATATATATTTAAAACAGGTAATGATGACTTTTTGGTTTCCTTGATTTAGACATGGATCAGGTATCATAGATAGTTTATACATCTTTATTCTTTTAAAGCCGCACATTTTACAAAATAATATAGAAACTTCAATGGAAAAAATCAAGTAACCTTTATTTGCATTTTTGAGCTCTCAGAACATCATGACTGAAACCAAAAGCAAAGTGTCATATATATGTCAGATTGGGATTCAGGTCAAACACATTTTTTTTTTCAGAAATAATTTTTAGTAATTTTCATTGAGATCAGGGTTTTTCAATTGCTTTCCACTATAAAGATGATGTCCTCTCATTAAATGATTAAAAGTTTGTTGACTATGTTGAATTCATCTGTCCCATGGAACTTGAAATACAGGATACAACAGATATTGTTAAGTCTGCATCATGTCTTGACTTACATCTTGCAATTGACAATGAGGGTTGGTTGAGAACAAAATTGAACAAAAGTTTTCAACCAAAGAGAAAATCACTGCTTCCCAATTGTGAACTTCCCATTTCTATGTAGTATCATTCCAATAGTGCATGCATATCGAGTATATATCTCCCAGTTGATAAGATATTAAAAAACTTTTGTTTCCTATCAGGCATTATTAGTTTGAATGTCCCTTTCGTTTCTTTTGCCTCTCTTTTTAGCTCACCTGGCCCGAAAGTCCTAGTGAGCTTTTCTCACCACTTGTCGTCATTGTTGTCGTCTGTCCTTGTTAACTTTTACAAAAATCTTCTCCTCTGAAACTACTTGGTCAAATTTAACCAAACTTGGCTACAATCTTCATTGGTGTATGTAGTTTTAAAATTTCTCCGATGGAACCAAGATGGCAGACATGCCTAAAAAAAGAATATAGGGGTAACATGCAGGTTATTTGTATTATTTTAATAACCACTATAAATAGAGAAAATCTGACTGAGCAAAAATGTTCTGAATGATAAGCTCTATCTAATGTCCATTACGTTAAAACTGTCAGACAGCTTCTTATAGGAGTTATTGCCCTTAAATGACAAATTTTACCATTTTTGCCTTTTATCTTGAAAAAATAATAGAAAAGAGAAACTTAGATTGCAAAAATGATTAGCAAGACAAGTTCTACAATAAGGACAACTTGGAGGAAATCATCAGAGGACTTCTTATTGGAGTTATTGACGATTTTTTACTATTTGCGTTTTGTGTTTTGCCATATATGATAAAAATTATAATAGATAAATAGACATTTTAAATCACAAAAATTATCAGCATGGCAAGATCTACTAAGAAGTGAAATTTTGAGGATATATTGGGTGGTAGACTCTTACTCTTTATAGGAGTGAGCCCTGAAATGAGGATTTTTTTTACCCTCTTTTGAGTTTTAAGGAAAAACTAAAGAAGATTGAGAGAAACTGAACAGACTAAATGATCAGTAATTCAAGATCAATTAAACAGAGATTTTGTCATGAATTCTTATTCTTGTCTACAATATTGGAGAATGTCCTTTATTAAATACATTGTATGCACATAGACCAAGGTAAGCAACACAGGCTCTTAGTGGAGTGACCAATCAAGAAAAGGTGCTTATTTTAGGACTTTAATGGACCGGCATAATTGCAGGCTGATAATTAATTTTTTTCAAAGCCAATACCTTAATCCTACTTTCCTGGTCGTAGCTATTTCCTGCGCTGCAGTTTTTCATAAGTGGAAAGAAAAAGACATGTTGATTTTTTCATTCAAAAAGCAACTCGACAAAAAGTTTGCTTTTGTGTCTTTTTTTTCAACATATTTTTAATAGTTTATTATAATTTAGTGAAATTCCAGATTCTTTCTCTAACCAATACGAAGTACATTTACTTTTTATTGTCCAATGCACCATACCATAGTTCGTGTTTATGTCAATTAAATATAATAGTATGGATACTTTTATAGTCTATTACACAAATTGACAACATTTAAAAATAAATTGTGAAAAAAATATACGGCAACAGAAAGGAGAAGGAGAATCAAATGTTGGGTTTGGTAGTTCAATCAAAATATTTTGGGAGATGGATTAATATAAGGGAAACCTTGTTTCCGTAGCCCTTAGTATTAATGTATTACTGTATTTATATGTATATGTCATGTACATGATTTTTGAAATTAAAGATGTTTAAAGTAAAATTTTTGAAGCCATTCGAGCAGATAGCCATTTAAAACCTGAAAAATTACCGTCAAGATTAAAACTGAAATTAAGACAATAAGTATAAATGAACACTAAATATTACATGCAGCCTCTTCAATAGTTCATAGTTGAAGGCAGTTTTTAGATTTATCCAGTGGAACTTACCCACATTGCTACATTGCAGAGAAGGTGGTCATATAATCCAGGAGGGAGCATGTAATGTTGACATCAATGCTGAGAAACACACAGCAAACGCTATTCTTAGTTCCTTTCAGGTTAAACTAAATTAACTATAAAGATCTGTGATGCTTGATGATTCTAATACTAAACTTATGGAATGCTGACCAATCGATAAGATACTAAAAAAACACTGCTATAAGGGACATTGAGTTTTGTTTGCATGAAAACGTAGATACAGCTGACATATTGTGGATATTTCTCCGACTTATTTCAAGACAAAGATTTGATCCAATTCCCAATTTTGCAGGAAATACTGAAAAAAATTGTCCCAATTGTTGCTGGCTTTTTCAAAGTCTATCATAATTCAAATTTGAAGATACCTTTCTAACCTTTGCTCCGATCATAGACATAAAACCTAGCAACATGGCAACATTTATTGTATATACCACTATGAAACAATGTTTAGATATGTTCAGCAAAACCCTTTACAAACTTTTGACCAGCAATTGTATATTGTTGCCCTACAGGAAAAATGGTCTATGGCAGATGTTATTTACTCCTACATTATAAGAATATGAGGATTTCATGGGCTTTCATCTTTTACATATCAACAGTTGGTAAATTATTGGTTTAAGCTGAGCTATATGACTTACGTGTCGACTCTGAAATTTATGCTCGAAATACAGTAACATATTCTAATTTGCAAACAGTTTAATCGTAGTGTTCCAGAATTAACACTTCCATATGTGGCTCTCAATCATGGTTCCTTAATTCAAAACATGTTTCAATTGACACATATACATAAATTGTATAAACACAGTATTGAACAAAACGTATGGAAGCTAGGCCGTCATTGGTTGTCCTAATTTAATATTTTGTCTCATCCAACTGAAAGCATTGAAGATTTGTTTACTATTTTTAAAAAAACGTACATGTGTTTGATGAATTCAGAAAACATACCAGTTTTCTTTGATGGACCTATGTCATCAGAGATTCTTCAAGACCTTATTTTCACATACAAGGGAAAAGAACTTGAAATTTAAGCTATGTATGCAACGAATAACTTTTGGCTTGTACAAGTATTTAATTGTGTGCATGATATGTGTGAAATAGGAATCATCTACTCGCCAAGCCATTTCTGAAGAAGACGATGATGAAAACAATGTCTGAACAATATATATTAAGTCGGAAATATTGGAAAAATTATTGTACAAATGTACTACTGTATATAACTGATGGAGTGTGGATACCATGCACTTTGACTGTTTGGATTGTTTAAACCCGAGGATCAATAATGAGAAGCAGGTGTTCGAAAAATGTTGTGCACTTTGCATGTTTATGCACCCTTACAGCAGCTTTTTCTAAGGGGGTCCTGATCAATAGTCGGTTTCCCATGTCAAAATTCCTACCCATACAATCTCAATGTTCATAACAGCAAAATATAAGCTAACCAACAGTACTTCATTTAAACGATTTTATTCAGTTACCTACGCAGGTAGGTTAAGGAACTTTGAAACGTAAATAGTGGCAAAATTATGATATATCAAGAATAAAATTGTTTAAACCAAAATTCATGAATCTAAGTTGTTGAATTTATATATTCGTGTAGTAAGGATTCAGTAAACCGAAATTTTGGTCATGATCGCCTAAGTCACGTGACTTCTACAGGGGTAAAATGCCTTAAGGTATAAAACCACTAATTCATAGCCCCATTGCTTTCTATGTTAAATTCTGCAAATTCAAGCATTAATGGCTACTTTGTCTTAAGTTCAAATAAAGTGGCAGTTATTTCATGTCAAAACTGTACCTTATCCTGACTTGTGCTGAAAAAATCAACATACCTTTAATTGCATATTAGAGCGTACTGGTTCCCAGAAGTTTGATAGTACAAAAACAGGAACTTCTGATCTGAACAACAGGCCAAATGAGCACTCCTATTAAAATTTCATATACTTCTTTATTATTCAAATAAAACTTTCAATAAGGGTTCTACAGTGATCCCAAGTCCCCAAGCTTTCATTTGATACTAAAACTACCCAAATATTCCAACTATTGACAAAGATACAGCTATGCGTAGGAACTATTTTGTTTACAATATGTACTACTTTCTTGTATGTTCTTTCCGACCAGGCCTGAATTAGTGGTTCTATACCTATAACAGCACCAAACTTGTTATATTGACTTCTGCTTGACTTAATTTCCTTCTATGATCTATTTCTAGCATAGAAAAACACATCAAGCTTTTGTCAAAACACTATATCACTGAATTCAAGCTCAAATTGGACTGGTAGTAGCATATGCGTTAAACAAAGAAAACTACTTATGGATACTAAATAAGTGACAGATATAACACTTTTTCAATTTTTCCCAGCTCTGATTTGTTAATATCTACTCAAATAACAGTGTTC